TGAATCAAGAAATAGATGAACTAATAATGCCAGTTCAACCGATTCAAGACGAAAATATGAATCAAGAAATAGATGAACTAATAATGCCAGTTCAACCGATTCAAGACGAAAATATGAATCAAGAAATAGATGAAGAAATGGGTATACTAGACATAATTAATAAAATAAACCAAATAAAAATCGAATATATAAATAAATGAAATGAAATTAAAAAAAAATATCCTAAAAATAATACAGAAATAGATAAATTAGAAAGGTGTGTTAAATGTAATTCAGATTTAATACCATTATGTAAAAACATAGTTTAACATTAGAACCTCAATTTGATATAAATGTAACAAATATATTAAATAGACAATCTAGACTCTCCTATCAAGATAATATATTTTATTATTATAAATGTAAACATGAAACAGAATCATGTAGTCAACTTGAAATTACATTTTTTCTCGTTCAAAATCAAATGGATGCGATAAATGTAAACACTGGATACAACACGAAAAATAAATCTAAATTTAAATATTTTTAATTAATATGTGATTTCGGAAAGTGATCGATCAAACAGTTTTGCGTTTTCAGTGAAATTGACGTTTTGTTTAAAATAAAAAGAAACTGTTGACAAAGTTATACTAATATTATTAGAGTTCTATTCAGAGTTTAATTATCTCTTGCTTATCTCCAAAACTGTAAAAGGATCTGTAAAAACGCTCTCAAAAAAATGCTTTGCATGAGCTTTTACTGCTCGAGACAGAAAACACTTATGAAGATAGTTAAGGCTCCAGTGCATAGTGCAGAGCCGGCAGTACGATTTTCTTTATGAGGTGAAACGCGAGTTGATACTTGTCTGGGCATGTAATCGTCATTTGAACGGAATGATTCGACGTTATACAAACATTTGATTACAAGTCCCGTGAAATGTTCGGTGACTAATAAAATATCGTTCGAATAAAATATTAAGTGTGTTAATGAAAACGGTAAAGTACACAGTATTATATTCGAAATGACTTTTTTTTATTTATAAATATTTTGCAAAACTTTGGGTTGTAATTGTCAGCCCAACTCCCGCCCAAATCCCCACCCCAACCCAGAACACATTCTTATAAGCTTTCCACCTTCGTTCCCCTTGCCGTTTTTGCCGGATATAATTTAAAATATCATCGGCTACATTATCCACATTAGTGAGGATAACGGGAATTGGTGCGGCCCTTGCCGCTCTTCTTGCACCTTCAGTGAACGATGGTGCTACCACCACCGCCACCACCTCCGCTTTTTTTTTGTCTTTCGCGGAGAACCGCACCAATCAGGTTGTCTACTACAACCCCGCCTATGTAAAGAAATAATAAATTTCATTGTTATTATATCGATTTGATACTTCTAAAAGCTTGTTATTTCGATCTCCATATATAATTGACTCTAAGTAGCCAACGTTTGCACTGGAAGTAGAACCCGATATTTTCATGGACGGCGGTTAGATCAATTCCACCGTCCCCGCAGTTACACCGGCTAACATCAAATAATAATAAGTATTTGTATCATAATAGTCAAGATCAGAGTCGAACGTTCACATTAATTGTGGCCACGATGCGCTTTCGTTTCATTGATCAATATATCCTATTCACCACAAAACCTGAGAACTCTCAGACGGTTTTTTTCGGTAACGGAGAAGAACGTTCACAACTATTCAGAGTGTAATAGGAACCCATAAAGTGTTTATATATGTATCCTATTCACCACAACCGGAGGGACTACCATCTCAACAGCTCTTTAACTGGAGGGAGTACCAGCTCAACAGCCTTGTCAGTAACGAAGTTTCGATAAATTATACTTTCGAAAACTTCGATTTATACCTAGTGGCAGCGTAACTTCAGATACATACACATTATGGTAGTTACCTAAATACAATATCTTGCAAGTTATGGCCTCGATGTGCTTTCAATTCCCCGATTTACACCTAGTGGCAGCGTATTTTCAGATATAATAACTATTCTACAAATACTTAGTGAGATTCTCACCTGCATCTTATATATGCGGATATCCCGCGGTTTACGAGAGTTCTTCGCACAACCCTCTCATATTCGAACCCCAACGCAATCCGGTGTCTGCGTCTACTTATTCCCCTTTTTCTTCTTTTTCTTTTGACAATTCGGATTCTCGTCATGATAAGTTACTGAAATTAGAACAATTATGAAATAAGGGTAATATCTTCTTTTATTTACGGTTGATATAATTTTAAATCGTTACCTTCAAAAGAGAAAGAGAAAGTTAGATATATCCATCTTGACGAGAATTCATTGTTGCAGGTAGACAATGAGATTAATTAAATATGGTACCCATTCATCTTTTTCATGTACTATTTCGTCCATTAATTCTCACGAAATGTGGCTTTGACACAAGCCTAATATCATGTTCTTAAACTTTTCTCTCTCTATCCAAAACTTAATAACATGTTCGCTTCAAGATCAGTTTCAACAACACCACATTCCAAAGCATGTTCAATTTAGTACGTTGTACCATGTAAAACTAACAAATACCAAGTTCGTATCTTTAGCGAAGATGTCATCGAAATGTAGATGATAGATTGATAAAAGAAGTTACACAATTTGTGTCGATCATTCAAATTCATATGATCGGTAAGCCACAAGAAAAATTTTCTTATAAATTAATATACACGTTTCTTGATACGTACAGTACAAACATTCTCAATAAGATTCTGTTGAATAAACTCAAGTCCTAAAAATGAGATTATTAATGTAAACAATATTAAGTTTATTTATTAATATGTAATCATCTTTCAATCTATGATATCTATATTATTATTATTATATATAATGTCCGATTTTATCTAATTTCTTCGATGTCATCGATTTCGTCTTCTTCAATAATTTCATCTTCTGGTTGAATTCTTCGTCGTTTGGTTTTTCTCGTTTCCAATACATTATCTTCCATTTCTTCGATGTCATCGATTTCGCCTTCTTCAATAATTTCATCTTCTGGTTCAATTCTTAGTCGTTTGGTTTTTCTCGTTTCCAATACATTATCATTGTCGCTGAGATCAGATTCACTAGAACTAAATATTAATAAAATTTCATCTGAACAATTATCTAAATCACGCATCTTATTAAATCTTGAATTGGGGTAATAAATATAATCACATTCTTTTTCATCTTCATTATCACATGAACTAATAACTATATCAGATAGATCAACTTTCAAATTTCCACGCCAATATAGATTATTATTTTTTCTGTTTAAACTACCTCTAAGTTTCTTGCTTCGTACTATATACTCAGCTTGTTCGAGGGTAACACCTTCATTGAATAAAATATCAAACTGAAACATTTATTGGGCGTAACTTGCTTCATTCACTATCGAAAGTGATCGGCAAATGATCGGCGGAAAAAAACTTCGTTTATGGAATTTCAAATGATATCTAACGCTAACCCCCAATGTATTGTGGCTTACACACTACGAAAAATTTTTCGATCACATGAATTTCCTTGTCCGCATATGATCTCGACCAATGATTGATAATGGCGTTATTGATCGCTCCGGTAGTACTGTTCGGAATGCCCCAAAATCCAATATCACTAATACGCTAAAGTTGCACTCTTTTCATTTTTGTTTGACCGCATTCAACTCCAAAACTCTATTTTTTTCATCCAGTCGCACTTTGCTCGCAAGGAAAAGGAACTAATTCATGTTCATAACAATAACTATTGTATCGATTTCGTTCTTGCATTCCGATAATTTTTGCGTCGCACCGAAAAAATGCCAGATTGGGTATCATTATCGGACACTATTTTCCGACACTTTT